AATGTTTTATGGTCTTATTTTGAGTATCTATTTCTGATTTGGTTTTAGTGTTGATGACATGTATTCTGGTTTTGCTGATCTCTGTTGTAGGTTCTCTATTGGAAGGACTTCCTAAGCATTTCTTATAGGGTTAGTCTTGTTTTCCCCAAGTCCCCTAATTTCTGTTTATCTCAGAATGCCTTGATTTCGCCCTCATATTTGATGGATAATTTGGCTGGATATAGGATTCTTGTTTGCAAGGTTTTTTTCTTTCAGTGTTTTATACATGCTATCCCATTGCCTTCTTGCCTGCATGGTTTCTGCTGAGTAATCAGAACTCAGCCTAACTGTTTGATTATTATAAGTAATATTTCACTTTTCCTGGGCAACTCTCAAATTTTTTTCTTTGTCTTTGGTTTTGTAATGTTTGATTATAATAAGTCTCAGTGTTTTTCTTTTGGGATCTCTCTTGTGTGGAGTCCTTTGAGCTTCTTGAACAAATATCTTTTCTTCCTTCTTGATATGGGGGAAGTTTTCTGTTAGCAGGTCTTCCACAATTTGCTCAGTGGTCTTTTTTGCCTCTTCTTGTTCTGGAATTCCAATGAGTCTTATATTGTTTTGTCTCATGTCATCGTATAAAATTCTTAGGTTCTCTTCATTTCTCTTACATCTTTGTTCTGATTTTTCTTCGTACAGGTTAGTGTCCAAGGATTTGTCTTCTAGTTGGTAGTCCACCCACCTGCAGCGCCAAAGATGCATGAGTCAGGAAAGTGCCTGCTAGTAATTTGTGGTTCCAATATTAGTGATAAAGACAAGCACAGACCTCTCAATGCCACTTAAACTGTCCAAAGCCTATTATTCAGTGACCCACTGAGTGGGGAGCAAGCTCACTTTCCTGGAGCACCAGTGAGCTCTATGCTTGGGTTTCAGTGGTGCTGCATGTGCCTGTTTGCACCTAGCTGACTCAAGTTACCAATAAAGTCAGGTGCTTAAGGTAGATCCTTGGGGTGTTTTTGTTGGTATGTTGGTGTGGTCGCTAGTATGCTGATGTGTGGTGTCTTCTCCCTTGACCTAGGGAGGTCTCAGGTGGCCATTCTCACCTGCTGGTTGCTCCCCCAGGGAAGTCTCTATTGGGCTTTCTCGACTGCCTGTCGACTTTCCGCTGGGTAGATCTTCTTTAATTTCTTTCCCTGTACATTTCCTCGAACTCTACTCCTTTGTGTTTGGTGCACTCTGGTTCAGTGAGCTGTTCAGAGCACCAAAATCCTTAATTCAAACTGTTGTACATAGTTTTTCAAGCACTAAGAGGCTAGAAGGAAATAGCATGGTGATTACTGACGAGACTCCATTTTGATTCCTCTGTTCAGTAGGTTTTAAGGAGGATGTTATTCAATTTCCATGTGTTTGCTCTTATTCCATTGATCTTTCTATTGTTGATTTCTAATTTTATAGTATTGTTACCTGAGAAGATTCTTTGCAATATTTCACTGTTTTTAAATTTGTTGAAGCTTGCTTTATGTCCTAACATATGGTCTATCCTGGAGAATTTTCTATGTGTGCTGCAAAGGAGTGTATATTGTGCTGTTGTTTGGTGAAGGGCTCTGTTGATGTCTATAAGGTCAGGTGGGTTGATCATATTGTTTAGTTTTCTGTGTCGCTGTTGCGTTTCTTTCTAGTTCATCGAAAGTGGTGTATTAAAATCTCCTGCCAATATAGTGGAAGTACTCTGTATATTTAATGGTCTCTTAATTTGCACGTGCTGGTGACAAAATCTTTCACTTTCTGTTAGTTTGTATATTTTTTCCATCATTTATTTTTGATGGATATAAAATTCCAAGTGGTTTGTTGTTTTCTTTCTATGCTTTCATTCTGTGAGCTCATTTTTCTTCTAGTTTCTACTGAAAAGTAATCTGTCCATTGCATTTTTGCTCCTTGCATGTAATAGATTTTCTTTCTCTATCTGCTTTTAGGGTTTGTTTTTATCCATGGTTTTCCGAATTTTTATTATGATATGCTGGTATCATAGGTGTGATCTTCTTTTTCAAGTATTTGTCTTGAGTTTTGAAGAACACAAAAGTCATCACTTGCTTAGGATTATTTATTTTTAGAAAGAATTTAACATAAGAAATTGGTTAGAGACATTACAGGACTCAAAAGACAGATAGGTGCACCAAAATAATTCAGATATAGTAACTTAAGGAAACAGCTACCTTCTTAGGGATGGGAAACAAAGGAACGAGATTAGGGTTACAAGAACTTAGAAGCTTTAAGAGGGAATTTTCAGGCCTGGGTCCCAGATTTCTGAGGAGGAAATATTGCTGGATGGTACTGGTTTCCTAGGAGTTGGATAAGAGACTCTTTGGAAATGGGACATATACTTCTGAAGAGAGGGTACTGTCCAACTGTTACTCATTATTTTTGAAGCTCAGAGGGAACTTGTGGAGCTAAGATTCATGTCTTTGAGAAGATGATGTACCTCTGAAGAAATGTAAGAAAGGTAGTTATGAGATATGGAAAAGCACCTGAGAACTGGAATTAACTGTGAACAGAAGAATTTTTGCCAAATTAATACTGATAAGAAAAGCAAGCAATGCAGGAAGAAGTAAAATGCTTTTTCCTCCCTCTAGCCTTTCTATCTTGTCCTCCTATTAGTAGGACCTAGCAAGAAGCCAGCTGTGTGATGAGAAATGTGATTTGCAGAATTCCAACTTTGGTATCCCAGAGCAGAGTATAAACCCACAGCCATGAAGTCAATTCTGACTCATAACAACACCATAGGACTTCCCCATAGGTTTTCCAATCCTGTAAGTTTTTACCAAATCAGAATGCTACATCTTTCTCCCATGAAGCAGCTGATGAGTTTGAACCACCATTTCGATAAGCTGAGTGCTTAACCACTGCACCACCAAGGCTCCTTGAGAAGAGTTTAGATGGGTAAGTTTGGAAATAAAAGATAATAGCATAAAAACAGACACATAAAATTTCTTGACTCTGTGGCTTCATGATGTTCAACAACTTTAGAAAATGCTCAGCCATTATAACTAAATATTTTTTTTGGATTCATTCTCTTTCTCCTCTACTTCTTGAACTTCAATTATATTAGTATTTCTCACTATATCCTTTTATCTCTTACTCACTTTACTTTTTATTCTTTTGTCATTCTGGATTATTTTAATGGAAGTTTGAAACTGTTTGTGAGCTATTGATTGCTTTTCAACATTGTGTGTCCTTTGATGAAGGTGGTTGTATATGCTAATGGGCTCTGTTGTATCTGTGACATCTATGCCCCTCAGCATAGACCTTTGCTTTGTTTCAGATGTGGCTGCTGCCCCCAGGAAACTTTCCTTGTTATCTGGCTACCAAGTCATTATGGCCCCATGTCCAGCATCTGCTGCGTGGTCTCTCAAGGAAGCTACTAAAACAAAGAACCAAACCCATTGGTCTCAAGTTGATTCTGACTGGAAGCAACCCTGTAAGATTGAGTAGAACTTCCCCATAGTGTTCCCAAGGCTATAATCTTTATGGAAGCTGACTGCCACATTTTTTTCTTCCATGGAGTTGCTGTTGAGTTTGGACTGAGTGACTACTCAGTTAGTAGCTGAGTGCTTCACAACTACATCACCAAGGCTCCTAAGGGAACTACCAGAATTTGAAGATTGCAACTGTACTGAGTACTTAAGAAATTGACTTTTCTGAGTATCAAAGGACCTACCAGGCTCTGACTGCTTTTCTTGATAGAAATCTCAGTGTGGGATAACAGATGTGACCCAGACCAACCATGAGTGCTAGAGGAGCCTGACAGTGTCACCCTGTAGCACACAGTCCCTATGAAAACATCTGCTTTGCAGTTCAAAATGTTTCATGTTGGAGAGGAGAGTTGTTCTGTGTCTCTCCTAAAACTCTAGGTTTTCACAGCTCAGCTATAACATCTATGAAATTTCACTGTGAAAGCTATTGCTGAGTGTGTTAGATTGGGTTCTCTAGAGAAACACAAAAACCAGCAAAGTCTATCTATCTATCTATCTATCTATCTATCTATCTATCTATCTATAGAGAGAAATTTATCTTAGGAAAATGGCTCACAAATGTATAGAAGCCAGCAAGTCCAAAGTCCCTGGAGGAAATGTCAGGTTGGCGGCAGTCTTAGCTTCCGCAAGCACAGGGGACCGAGAAATTCAAGGCTGGCAGGCAGCACACTGGTTGTTGACTCCAATGAAAGATGAATCCAAGATCTCCAGGCAGAGTGGTGGGCTGCTCACTCACGGAAGGTTGTAGTCAGCACACCAGGGTCCCAATCTCTCCAAGAATGTCTCTCTTCCCAGGATGCCCCTGGATATCCTGGAAGCAGGCCACACCCCTAGGGAAACTCCCCTTGGGAAGATTGACCACTCAGAACACAGTCATCTGATCCCATCATGGGAACAACCACACAGAACTGGGGTCCAGCCAAGTTGACACACAGCTCCAACTATCACACTGAGTCTTGGACAAATTTCTGAGGATGGCTCACAATGACAGGGGATGATTGTGGTTTTGCATTGATGACTTCTGTTCCTTTACTGTCTTCCTCTAGATCTCACTCTGTTTTGCCCTGGAACTTCAGCTTCAGGTCTAAAGACCCCAGCTTTACGGAAAATACTCCTCTGCTGAGGAATTCTTTACAAAAGAAAAGGTGAGGTTCCTTTTTCTTCTTATGAAGTTATGGAATTTCTGGGCACTGTCACAGATACTATGCTGGGAATTTTTTCTGAGAAGAATTTTTACTTGATGTGCTTGGTCTCTGCCAAACCCTCACCATTTCAATGAGCACATGGTGTGTGATTTTAGTGGCTGTGTTATATGGCTTGTGGACTGCTCATAACATTGCACTGATTTACCTATACATGTGTGTGCATACATGCACAGGCCATCTCATTAACCCAGCACTTCTCACTTCGGGTAAGGCTGGCCCAATCTGAAGACATCTTTTGGCAGCCACAACTTGGTATATAATAGTGGAAGTCAGGGCTGCTGCTGAACACCTTGAAATGACCAGGACATTCCCCATCGCAGAGAATTATCTGAGGTTAGAAAGCTGTGTTCTGTATGATGCATAAGAAAACTCCTTTTCCTGACAGGTTGAAGGTCCCTGTGGTGATAAATCTAGGTGATTCTGGAGCACCGTCAGTGAAGCTGGGCTGGATGAGGAGAGAAAGTCCCCTTCTAGGATGAGGGCTTAGGCCTCTATTCTTACCTTCACCATTCTCCTGCAGACATACTCCTACCAGGCCAACATCTGAATTGTCTAAATCCATGACAGTTAAGAAATAGCATAAAGCTGGGCCCTATGAGGCAGAGGTCAGGTATAGTTTTGTCTTACCACTTCTCCATTATTACTGACACCATCTGCTCCTCCCATGGCATTATTTCTCTGCTGGGTCCAATAATTTTCTATAATGGCCACACAAACCATAATAACAGTTATGTGGTTTATTATGGAAGTAACAGGCTACAACTTGGGATCAAGATCATCTTGTTAGTAACAGGAATGATTTGAAATCAAGTTAAGAATCACATAAGCAAGGTCTGGAAGGGTCCCTGAAGTGAAGAGCACATTCATCCCTTCTTCAGTGTAGTACAGCTTCCAGTCAGAACAGCTCTCTCAGCTGCTTTCCATGCCAGGCCTCTGTCATCAGCCTATCTACTCCTAACTCACCCAGATCATAGTCAGTACAGGAGCTTTTAACTCTGCTCAGCTCAGCTCTCTCAGCTGTTCTCTGCTGTTAGGCCTCTCTGCCATAAAGCACTCTTGCCTTAAACCTATCTGTTGTTAGTCTCCCTGCCATTAACCCTTCTGATGTTAATTGATCAAAATGAGTCCTTGTTCTGAGGTGATTCTGTGTGGATACCATGACAGTGGATAAGGCATTCCATGGGGGGTAGTTTCGGTAGAAGCATTGCATGAAGGGAAGGGAAATCCACACCCAGAGTAAATGTCTATTCAAGTAAGACTCACAGCCAGTGTATCAGCTTGCTCAGCTCTCTTGGCCTCTGCTATCCTAGAAGCAAAACTTCATAGTTGGGCCTCTCAACCATCAGGCCTCTCCACCATCAGGCCTCTCCACTGTTGGTCTTTCCTCTGGTAACTGGCTCAGTGCATAACCAACATAGCAGCTTCAGACTGCTCTGCTCCCACGTATCTCTGCTTCTCTGCCAACCCAGGTTTTAGCTAGAAGCTCTATTAGACGTAGCTGTCTTAGGCTGAGTTCTCTAGATAAGCAAAATCTATATTTATCTATCAACATCTATCTATCTATCTATCTATCTATCAATCATCTGTTTCTATCTATCTATCTATCTATCTATCTATCTATCTATCTATCTATCTATAGAGAATTTATTTCAGGGAAATGGCTGAGATAGTTGTAGAGGTTGGCAAGTCCCAAGTTTGTGGGTCATACATCAAGCTGGAGGCTTCTTCTGACTCATGAAGCTACAGGGGCTGACAAACTCAAGATCAGCAGGCAGTATAGTAGGCTGCTGGCTCCAGTGGATGATGAATCTAATATGAACAGGAAAAATGGCAGATTGTTAGCTCAGAGGTTGTGAAGGAAATAATCCCAAGGTTGGCAGGCAATACCACAGGTCACTGGTTCAGTTCCAAGGACCTGAGATAATGATCAGCTAGATGCAGGACCCAGATCCGGCAGAAAGCCAGAGTGTTCCCAGCATATCTATCTATCTATATATAGGAAACAGGTCACAACCATCAGGAAGCTCCTTTTCCTTTTTTTAAATTATTTATTTATTTATTAATTTTTTTATTTTAAGACTTTGTTTTACATTCAAAATTATGTGTACATTTAGTTTCACTCCCCATTTGCCATCTTCAACCCTAACCTAGTCTCCTCCCCTACCTGCCCAGTAAGCCTCCTTCCATGCCCCTCATAGTTACGCATTCCTGTGTGTCCTGCATTTCCTCTGTGCAAATGTTGCCCCTCTGGTGCCCTGTGATCGATTGTTCCAAGGGATGCATTTCCATAGAGTATGTGGGTATGTCACCCTGGGTTGAGTGGGCTGCATGCACATCTTGTTTACTACTGGGGTGAGAGCCAGCCCCTGGGAGTGAGTTTTATTCCAGGCCTAGAATGCATCCCAAGACCATAGTATTTGGGGGTCTCACCAGACACCATCCGACCAGTAATTCTGGTCATTATTGAGTTTTTGGATTTTGTTCCATGTTTTTCCTCCCACTCTATCCAAGATCTCCAGTTTTGATCCTTTCCTGAGTAATTGGCTTTGGTAACCGGGCACCCTCTAATTTTTCTGGTCTTGAAGGCCATTGTGTCTTAGGGCTGATTCCTTCCAAATGCCCTTGTTTTTTTGCACCCTTATTCACTTCTGATGACAGGGGACCATTAGCTGCATCGTAGATGGCCATTTAAAAGATTTTAAGACTCCAGTTGCTACTCACCAATGTAAGATGAGGAACAAGACTTTTATGTATTTTGTTGTGCTAATTGAGTCTGGTGTCTCCTAATACTATGGTCCTGAATTGGTATAGCTATTGGATCTCTCTCCCACAGTGTCTGACTGTCTGTGAGGGATTACTCTATGTCTGTCTTCTGTTTTTTCTGTAAGGATTGAGGGTATTTTGTATCACTGGTATCTGTGCAAGATTAGCATTTGCTGAATCTATCCTTGGTCTAGAGTAAACTCCTGTTCACTGACCCCCATCTGATCTTCTCAGATGTTTATGTCTTTATCTATAGTCTGGTGTTTGGTGTTAATGCAGTAGTGTGGATACACTGGTTGGTATTAGCATTTGTCATCCATATCTTATGTGTACAAGTCGGTGTCCTCCCTTTCCCTAATGCTATCATGGTGCTCACAGATTCTTTCTATACCATCCCTCCCCTTACCCATGTCAGTGTGTGGCCTCCAACTAGCCCAAAATTCATTCCTTTCCTTCCCTCCCCACCCCTGTAATCTACAAAGTGAATTCCCTTTCTCGAGCAAACCCTTCTTTGTCTTTTTACAGTAATGGGATCATACAGTATTTGTCCTGCGATTGACTCAGCATAATGTCCTCCAGGCTCACCCACATTGTGAAATGATTTGCATATCCTTCATTGTTCTTTTATGTAGCACAGTATTCCATTGTGTGAGTGTACCATAATTTGGTTATCCATTCATCCATTGATGGGCATTTAGGTTGTTTACATCTGTTTGCTATAATTGTGCTGCAATGAACATAGGCATGCATATGTCTGTTCGTGTGGTGCCTCTCACCTCTTTTGGATATATTCCTAGTAATGGAATTGCTGGATCAAATGGTACAAATGGTATTTCAATGTTCAGTTTTTTAAGGAAATGCCATATCATTTGCCACAATGGTTGTACCATTTTAGAATCCCACTAGCAGTGCACAAGACTTCCAATATCTCTGCAACCTCACCAGCATTTGTTATTTTCTGACCTGTTGAACTTTGCTATTATTGTTGGGGTGAGATGATATCAATTTTTTTTTTTTTTATTTGCATCTCTCTAATGACTAAAGATCGCGAACATTTCCTCATGTGTTTGTTGGCTGCCAGCATGTCATCTTTAGTGAGGTGTCTGTTGAAATCTTTTGCCCTTTTTGAACTAGGTTGTTTGTGTTTTTGATGTTAAGGTCTTGAAGTTTTCTATAGATTTTGGAGATAAATCCTTTATCAGATATATCATAGGCAAATATTTTCTCTTTTTACCTTTTTGATGAAGTCTCTCAATGCTAATAAGAATTTAATTTTTAAAAGGTCCTAGTCATCTAGCTTCTGTTCTACCTCCTGTGCATTCTGGGTTATGTTTGATAGTCTATTTATGCTGCAAATTAGGGCCCCCAGATTTACCCTTATTTTATCTTTGATGAATTTCATACTTTTGTATTTTACATTTAAATCTTTGATCCAGCTTGAGTTTGTTTTTGTGTATGGGATGAAGTATGGGTCTTGTTTCATTTTTCTGCAAGTGGATATCCAGTTTTGCCAGCACCATTTGTTAAAGAGTCCGTCTCTTCCCAATTTAATGGGTTTTGGACATTTGTCAAAGATCAGCTGTCCATAGATGAATGGGTCTATTTCTGGGCTTTCAATTCTATTCCATTGGTCTATCTGTCTATCATTGTACCAATACCATGCTGTTTTGACTACTGTGTCTGTATAGTAGGTGTTCAGATCTGGGAGTGTGAGACCTCCCACTTTGTTCGTCTTCTTCAGAAGTGCTCTGCTTATCCGAGGTCTCTTTCCTTTCCATATGAAGTTAGTAATTGGTTTTTCCATGTCCTTAAAAAATTTTGTTGGTATCTGGATCAGGATTGCATTAAATGTGTAGATTGCTTTAGGCAGTATTGACATTTTCACACCATTCAATCTACCTATCCATGATCAAGGCAGGTTCTTCCATTTATAAAAACCCCTTGTTGTCTCTTGCCACCATATTGATCACTAACATTTGGTACATTGCCCTTCTCTTCAAATAAATCAATACTTATCTCTATCTATCTAACAGTGTTCCCTCCTCTCCCCTCCCACCCCTGGTAACCAAAAAAGAGAATTTCCTCCCATAGATAAACCTTTCCTTGACATTTACAGTAACAGACTAATACAATATTGTCCTTTTGTGATTGACTTATTTCACTCAGCATAATGTCCT